TATGTTTTCTGAGAGTAGAATTTGTTCATGTCAGTGTTTTCTTTTGAATATTTTTTAAATTGCAGTTGATATACAATGTTATACTAGTTTCAGATGTAAAACCCTGTGATTAGCCATTTGTATAAAAGTGTGGAACACAACGAATTTGCGTGTCATTCTTGTGCAGCAGACATGTTAATCTTTGCATTATTCAAATTTTAGTATGTGTTCTGCCAAAGTTTTTGATTTAGAGAGTTTGTTCCTAATATATAATAATAAAAGCATAAAATGCTAATTAGAACAGACAGCCGAAGAATCTTCCAGAAGTCATTCTGGACGTCCTTCCAGATGAAGCCACAGCGGTAGGGACCAAGGCAGAGTGGTTAGGGGTGATCAGACAGGCAGGCAAACAATTAGGGGCGATAAGGCAGGCAAGCAGGTGAGCAGTTAGGAGCCAGTGGTCCCAGATTGCAAGAGGGATGTTGGACTGAGGGATTCCCCCCCACCACTTGCATGAATTTTGTGTACCAGGCCTCTAGTAGTTTCTTAATTCAGAAATGACAACTTGTAGATACTATGACTAATTTTTTAATATTGTTTATTATTATAAGTGGTTGTGTGAGTTAGAATATTTTAGGAGTTTGATTCTGGATTTATTGGGGGTATTCTAGATACTTTAGAGTGTGATTTGGGATATTTTAAGACTTTGATTTGGGATATCTTGATTTGGGGTATCTTGGGATATTTTAAGACTTTGATTTGGGCTACTGCTGGCCCATTGCTTGGAAAAAAAAAAACCACCCCTCAATATTGAGTGATGACAACAACAAAAATGCTCAAATAGATAAATATAGTCTATTTCTGAAAAAAATGTTAGCTATCTAATATGAAGCCCCATGACATAGATTATAATTTAAATTTCTTCCTGGCTTTGTTACTATAAATGGAAAAGGAAACATTTCAACAGTATGATGCAGGAATTGGTTGGCAGGGACTAGGGAAGAGGAATTTTAAATAAGTTTAAACGCATAAGGTTTTCTTTGATAAGCGTTTCTCCCGTCACTGTGAAGGATCTTTAATATAAACTTTTGAGAACGTCTTTTCTGAATTTGTTTAAATATTCCTTGCATATTATATTTATTTTGATGGTATACCTATGAATTTCCTTTGAAGAATAGTATCAACATTACACTAAAATAAATATTTAGAAAACATACATGCTTCATTTAACGTTTTAGAATTTTTTTCCAAAATATATTTTTGGGGAAAATTTTTAGAAAGTCCCTGTGTCATCTTATGTAAACCACACAGAGGTGTGCTCAGAATGTTCCATCTGTGAGAATGTGAATGCCCAGCAATAGCTTTGGGAGAATCCACTTATTTGTACATTGAGTTTATTCAGATTAGGGAACACAATAAGGTTAGAGGTAATAATAGACTTTATGCTTAGGAGAAAATTAAAAACTTGTTATCTTGAATTAGGTTGTCAGTCTTCTGCTGGCTTACCAATCTTTTGGTACGAGAGCTTAGTGATACTGCTGCTTTAATGACCAAGAGTCACCCTGTGTCTGCCGTCTTGCCTTTGCAATCCTTTGCTTACATTGAGGGTGGCTACTGTGCCAGCCTAAAATCTCTTGGGCATTTCTATGTATCTTGACATCAAGAGTGATTAGGTTGAAGGATCTCAGGAGCTAAACTGTTTTAGACACTAGAGAGACTAAGGAACTATGTGGGTACATGTTTATATCACCCCAGGTCCTACCTTATAGTCAGGTGTCTGCCCAGTATGTGATCATTCCTCACTGAATAACTATTCATTCCCTTTTCCTCTTTTCCCTTTCTCTGGGACAATTTTAAATAAATTTCAATTTAGGAAACTTGATAAAAGATTGACATTAATCTCTGTTAGCCTACAGGAGAGCATTCTATG